ACACGTGCGTTAGCTGCGATGGTCCTCGACAACGCGCGCGATGCTGGGTGACGACGTAGTGTATGCGCTCGGAGACGGCATGTTGAGTGATCTCGAGCAAGAAGTCCTTGTAGTCTTCATAAAAAAATCATAATTGAATTATATAAAAAGTGTAATTTTTTTTTCTTATATATGCAATTTTTTGTTAGAAAATATCGAATAGCATAAATCATATTGTGATTTTTATTAGTTAAATTATCATTTTATCTAATACTATCAAATATGCAATGTGGATATACCTTGTAAAAATGGTGAAAATATAAATGAAACGGAAAACTTGTTAAAGTGAGAATATTCCAGCGCGAAATGGGGCATATGTGAACAGAAAATTCCGCATGTCGCCAGCTAGAAACTTCCGTTGCCAACTGTTGTAGGTATCTACAGATTGAAACAAACAATTTGAAGGAGAGAGAAACATAAAAACACGGAACTAAATCGTAACCCCGTTAAGCGATCCTTTGTAATCATCATAGTATCATATAATAATAATCCGGTATCTTTCAGATCGGGTCAACTACCCAGCCCGAACCCGAAAAGGATGTCGTCCCGCAGAAGAGCTCTCCTCAAGGTTATCATCCTCGGCGACAGTGGGTTCGTCTTCTTCTTTTTTTCTTTCTTTTGGTACTGTAATTAATTTATTTTATGATCTGCCGGGCGATATAGTGTGTGCGCGTGGCCGATTATATTCTGGCGATTTTGTTGTTGTTGTTTCGGGTGGATCTTCGGTTTTGCAGTTTCACAGGCTCGGAGATTTCGATATTTTTGATGTTTTACGGGTTCAATTTTGTTCGATTTAAGTCCTGTAACACCTGTTCCGATCTTGTGTATAAGTGAAAAGAATTAATGAAATTGATGAAAAGTCTGATTTTGTTGCATTTTTCCTGGGCAAATTGAACATGAAATGTGGAAGTTATTATTACTAGAAAGCATGAATATATGAAAGAAATGGATAACAATTTGTTAATTAATAGTAGATTACTAGTAGATGATGCAGCCATTTTATTCGTTAGTGTTCTGTTCGGCCTTATGCACGGGCATATGCATTTGCTGCTGAAGTCGTATGGTAAATGCATTTTATGTGTGGTTGCAGGGTGGGGAAGACTTCGTTGATGAATCAGTATCCTCGAAAACTATTTAACTTACGAAATTGTTACGGATACATTAGGCATTTTAAGATTTTATTTGTATTTGTTAGGGTGATGTTTCTTTGACTTTTGATTAAAGATATGTGAATAAGAAATTTAGCAACCAATACAAGGCTACGATTGGGGCGGATTTCCTGACAAAGGAGGTGCAGTTTGAGGATCGGCTTTTCACTTTACAGGTTGGTCTTGGACATATTTGTTCACTCATGATTGACAGTTGTGGCATATGATTTTTTTGATTGAGTTTCGTCATATTTGTAAGAACTACTGAAAGTGAGTCTCGTTACAGTGTTGACTGTCAATTATTTAACTGGATCCTTGCGAACAAGTTTATTGCTGTTGACTGGCTTTGTTTTTCTCCCTGAGGAGTCTGCTTTATGAGAAAACCCATTAATTATTGTTCTTATCATAAGTCATTTTTTAGGGATCTTGTAATGTACTTAGGACTCAGTTTGATGACAAAATTTCTCTAGAGCAGATCTTTTGTTTCTAGATACGACGATAATTCAGCTTGAATTAGTAATAAAAAAAAATGATTCAAGTAGTCCAAGTTATGCCCTTATTATTCTTTTTATTCTGAGAGGAAGTCTGTGCAATGATAGATATGGGATACTGCTGGACAAGAAAGATTTCAAAGTCTTGGTGTTGCCTTTTACCGCGGTGCTGATTGCTGTGTGCTTGTCTATGATGTCAATGTGATGAAATCATTTGACAATCTTAACAATTGGAGAGAGGAGTTCTTAATTCAGGTATGTTGTTTTGTCTTCTGATGTTATGTGCCTTCCAATTGTATTGTTCAATATTAAATTTCTTTATTAGCTGGAAATTATGTTTTATCATCCTTTAGTCCGACCCTATGACTTAAATAATGTACGTTTGCTCTATGATATTTGCGTAGCCTCTTTACTTAGTATGTGAAATAGCATGACACCGTTATACCCTCAATAAGGAAAATATATAGCACTTCACCGTTGCTTTTTAAACTATAGGTTTCTTCAATTGTATCCGTTTTTTACGTGCTGTTTGAGTTCTGGAGAGGATTGAATTAGGTATTTTTGTGGTGTTATTGAAACTTTTGATGATGTGTTCCCCTGGAATTCTTAAGAATACGTAGAATTGCATGGCTTTTGGTTACCAAGGTTTTGATATTTCATGCGAAGAATGACACATTATATCTTTTCATCTCTTTCCCATGTCATATAATTGAAGAAATAGAAAATACTAATGAGACCGAATCATCCCTGCAGGCTAGTCCATCTGATCCTGAAAATTTTCCTTTTGTTGTGATTGGGAACAAGGTTGATGTGGATGGTGGAAATAGTAGAGTGGTAATCTCTCTCTCTCTCTCTCTCTCTCTCTCTCTCTCTCTCTCTCTCTCTCTCTCTCTCTCTCTCTCTCCTCATGCATTCTCTGATATGTCCATTTCTTATGTTTCTTTCCCTTGACCATTAGCAAACTTTAAACATTACCACCACACGGAACAGTTATAGTTGTAGTTCTTTACATCCGTGCATCTGAGGTTCTTCCAGTCTGTTGTCATCATTTAGTGGTGGTGTTCAGGTTGCCAGGGATGAAATGTTATTTTTTACTTCACAATTTTATTTCTGAAGTCATGGACTTTTCATCAGTCGGCTAATGTGTTAGTTTGCTTGCTTTATTATAGGTGTCTGAGAAAAAAGCCAGGGCTTGGTGTGCCTCCAAAGGGAATATTCCATACTTTGAGACATCTGCTAAAGAAGGCATCAATGTTGAGGAAGCCTTCCAGGTTATCGCCAAGAATGCCTTAAAGAGTGGTGAAGAAGAGGACATGTGAGTTGAAATAATAACTTTTTTCCTGTGTCTTTGTTATGTGTACATATCAGCACCGAAATTATGTCATTTATTGGTTTTGAAGCTGGTTTTGCAACTTTTAGGTAAAAAATCTTTGGTGTTAATGCTAGATTTACATAACGGTGTCAATGCCCTCACATGGGGTGGGGCTCACTTTATAAAATTTTGAGTAGATCCCATTCCCACCCCATTTGAGGGAGGGTATATGTATCCCATGGACAAGCAATTATGTGCTAATAGAAAAATCCATGAAAATAACTATTCCTCTCGTTAAATTTAACTAGATAAAAATTCTGGTTATATTTCAATATTTCACATGCCATAGGTTTGTAATTACCTAAGGAAACCCCTGTCTAAGTGCAATTCGTGCTATAGATAGTTGTGAAAGATAACCACATATATATTTATATATATTCCGTTTGTGCTTTTTCGTGGGAAATTATGCTGAACCTCAGCCTGTTTTTTTTTGTAATTATCCTTACGTTTGATTCCTTGGAAATAACTTATCTTGGTTCTGGAGATGCATGCAAACATTATAGTTCGCTATTTTCTTTCAACTGTCCAACACCAAATTATGGTCTGTTGATTATATGTTCTTTCTTTATGTTGGTGAAGATATCTGCCCGACACAATCGACGTTGGTGGCAGCAGTCAGTCGAGGTCAACTGGATGTGAATGTTGAAATTATGATTCGAAACTTCCTGGGATGCACCAAGAACAATTATCATTCCTGTGTTTTCGTGGTCTTCCAAGTTCCATGTTTATCCTTGTATACTAGTAGCATTTGTTTTAGTGAATTCGTCACTTCCATTGATTGGTCTGGGTTGCTCTGCTCGTTCACTTCTCATTGTATTCTGTTCTCCTTTGGTTTCGACAAAGTTGGTTTTTCCGAGTGTTGCTGAAGGTTTCATGCAAAAGCAATGGCTTTTTTTTTTCCAGTTTCCTCCAAGTTTATTTCCTTCTGCTATATGTGCCTTGAACGTAGTATATGTGATTATTGTAATTATCAAGAGTTCCATGTTTATCTTAGTTCGGATGCCTTTAGCTTTTTTCTTTCATTTATTTATTTATTTGTTTTATACTTGTTTTATTATTATTATTATTATTATTATTATTATTATTATTATTATTATTATTATTATTATTATTATTTTGGTTTGTACCGTCACTATATGTCAAAGGGTGTTATAGCGGCCAAGTACTATAATTCAAGGAGAAATAGAAGGAAATGCTACAGTTCTGTTACCGAACTATTCCATCAGATTTATAATTGTTAGATCAATTATCTTTCAATGCTTGAAAAAGGGGAAAGTATTCTTATTTGAATTTTACATTACACGTTTCCCATTGGGCAAGAGGCTTACATTTCCAAATCACAATACATGGTGCAACAAGCCACACGGTTACGAACATAAACAAAGTGCATAAAACATAATTATCACAATACATTGTGCAACCAGCCACACGGTCACGAACATGAACAAAGCACATAAAAACATAGTTTCATTCAGCAAATGGAGGCAATCCATTTGCTAATTACTCCTCATAAACAGAACCATTTTTCCTGCCTTTTAGATCTTTCACGATCACATTACTTACCTTCTCCACGACGTCATTATCTCCATACGCCGAGACATTAGGACTCGGCACAAAGTCTTTATCAAAAGATTTTTTGTGTTCAGTGTCGACACCATCAATGTAAGCCGTAGTGCTGGGCCTCGGCTCAAAATCTTTATCAAAAAGCTTTCCGTCATTGGTTCTGACACCGTCAGTGTAAGCCGTGAGACTGGGCCTTGGTTCAAAATCTTTATCAAAAGACTTTCTGCCATGTTCGGTTCCGACACCGTCATTGTAAGCCGTGACACTGGGCCTCGGCTCAAAATCATTATCAAAAAGCTTTCCGCGTTCGGTTCTGACACCGTCAGTGTAAGCCGTGGCACTAGGCCTCGGTTCAAAATCTTTATCAAAAGACTTTCTGTCACGTTCGGATCTGACACCGTCAGTGTAAGCCGTGGCACTGGGCCTCGGCTCAAAATCATTATCAAAAAGCTTTCCACGTTCGGTTCTGACACCTTCAGTGTAAGCCGTGACACTAGGTCTCGGTTCAAAATCTTTATCACCCAAGCCCCCCTGCCAGTATTCCCCTGCATCTTTTCTTCCATGCATACAATTTACGAACTGCATTTTTTAGAATTAAGACAATTTCGAATTAATGTGCAAGTCCGAGTTTCGTCTGAGGGGTCAAACACAACATACCAAATTTCGGAAGCATTCAGTTATCCTTTACGTATCTCCTCTGATTCAGAATGAACTTCATATATAACACGGAAGCGATAGTTGAAGGGACGTTTTGTAAATTTTTCAGAGTTTTCTTTAAAACCATAACTACGCCGACAGATTAAACGATTTCGGTGGATAACGGGGACACACATAATAGTAGGCATGTAAAGAATATAATTTTGTGAAGCCTTTGAAGTGTAAGAAGTATATAGGCATTATCATGTGACATACCAGGGAAAAAGAGAGGAGGGCAGCTACAGCATATATGGATCTCATTCTCATAGTTATGAGCAGATATCAGAGTATTTATTTATGTTTTGATTGGATTTTTTTCGCACAATGCAGACGCTATTTATAGGGAGAGAAATTTGAGAAGAAGGTGACTGTTTAATAATTCATCACGAGCGTTTGGATGAGATGGTTTGGGTCTCTTCCAGTTTAACCAGTAGTCTCGTGTTCGAGCCCTGGGAATGCAGCAGTGTTAAAACTCTTGAGGGAGAGCTTTGCCGCCCTTGTGGTCCTACCCGGCTCGATTCTGAATTAATCGGTTCTCCTGTAGATCACGAAACCGGAAGGTCCCTGTACCAAAAAAAAAGAAGAAAATAATTCATCATCCATGAGTGAAATATAAAAAAATAAAAATGATAAGACTAATTAAACTCAAATATTACTCTTTCATTGTCATTTAGATTTTTGTAAAGATTTAGGGGTCATAGGGAGAATTATTGAATTAATTAATTTATGCTTGTGTCACTCCTTTACAACATGGGCCTTTGAGAAACAAGTAAAAGAGCTAATATTCA